ATATGCTGTCTTGGAGCACTGTGGAGTCTCCTGCCCTAGAAGTTTTGAGGCAGGTCCTGGATGACCATCTGCCAAGAGTGCTTTGATTGTGTGTTACTGCATGGTAGAGAATTGGACTTGATGGCCCTTGTGGTTTCTTCCAACTCTATGATTCTATGAAATGTCCCTAGGTTTGGAGCACCCCAAGTTCTCAGTCAGAGCCTCTTCTTCTTCAGGCTTTTCATTCAGCTGTGTCTCATATTTCTAATGTAGAATGGCATACAACACTGTTCTGTTGGAAATGGGTGAGTAATATAAGTGGTGAATTTATAATAACACTGAAAAGGTAGACATCTGGAGTACAAATCAGAAGTTCTAATTTGTGCTTTTACTGGAGATAGGCTCTATTTCAAATTCAGACTGTTCTGCAATAATTACAGCATATTTATTAAGTTGTTATCCATTCATTGTATGAACTGAATCATGCTGCTAGGAAAACTTAACTCTATGTAATCCTTGTCAGTATTTATTAAAGCTCACTTGCAAAAAGAAAAGAGCAGAGGGAAATCATACTTACTGATGACAGATTGCACTGAATAACAAAAGTGTGTTAATGTTGGTTGGTGATGCTTTCATTTTCTCTCACTCATATCATGATGGTTTCTTAATTTCATAAGTTCATGACCAGAATTCAGTATCACACTTATGGATGTGTAACCTGGAATTATGAATCAGTAACTGATACATATTATTTGTACATACTAGTCATAATAATGGCACTATTGCCCAAACCTATTTTATCAAAAAACAGCAATGAGAGGAGATCAATTCTGCTGGTAACAGAAGTACAGGAACTTTATCTCATGAAGTCACTAACTTTTGCAGTCATGCAGTTATAGGCTGATAAACCAGCCAGTCCACCTCCCTCCAGCCACAGCCATCCAAGCAGCCTCCATCCAAGGGGTGCATCAATGGTGCTACGGTATCCTTCTCCTTTCCCCCAAAAGTCCTGAGCATGTTTTCAATTTGTGCGTTTAGACCCGTGATGGCGAACCTATGACATGCGTGTCAGTAGTGACACATGTAGCCATTTCTACTGACACGCGCCGAAGGTCCACAATTGCTTTGGCTGGAGGAGGAGGCAGAGGTGCCTTTGAAGAAGAGGAAGAAGCAAATCAACAAAACAAACTTTAGGGGCATCACCACTTGCTCTGGTGGGTGGGGCCATTACCTCTCCATTCCCTCGTGGCTCTGAGGAGAGCCAGCATTGGCTCTTTGGAGAACCAATAGCGAACCAACAGTGAACCTTTTCCAGGGAGGAACGCCAAACGAGGCGGAGCACTTTCCGATACTGTCAGTCATGCTCAGTAATGAGCCCCCACCTTGAATGTGGGACTCCACTTCCCAGAAGCCACTGTCGTCTTCCTCTCCTTCCTCCTCTGCCAAAGCAGCAGCAGCGAGAACAACACGACGTTCAGCCTGCAAAGGCTGACTGGCCACCTGACAGGAGTGCCTTGATTGTGCTTTTCCCTTATGGCAGGAGGTTGGATAAACATCCTGCATATCAGAGATTTACATGACGATTCATAACAGTAGAAAAATTACAGTTATAAAGAAGCCACAAAAATAATGTTATGGTTGGGGGTCACCACAACACGAAGAACTGTATTAAGGGATTGTGGCATTAGAAAGGTTGAGAAACACTGCACTACTGGCTATTAGGAATTGTGGGAGTTGAAGTCCAAAACACAAGGAGGGCCCAAGCTGGCCCATGCCTGCTTTAAAGAATAGCCATTATATTTAATTCTATTGTAATATTTCACATATTTGTAGATTTGAAATTGTATTGAAATGTAAGCTGCTTTGCCCCCTTCCACACAGCTGTATAAAATCCACACTTAACTGGCTTATATGGCAGTGTGGACTCTGTTAATGCAGTTCAAAGCAGATATTGTGGATTATCTGCCTTGATATTCTGGGTTATATGGCTGTTTGGAAGAGCCCTTTCAGAGCCCCATATCCCAGGATCTGATCCCAGGTTTTCTGTTTATCCCAGATTATCTGGCAGTGCAAACTCAAATAATCCAGTTTAAAGCAGAAAACCTGGGATCATATCCTGGGATATAGGGCCTTTCTGGAAGTGCCCACAGTCTCCTTGTGAAGACAAAAAGTGGTGTATAAATAAGCATAATAATAATATTGTAGAACAGAAATCTGTTCCTGGTTTGAAATTGTTATTTTCTGTTTAATTGTGCGGCTCTTACTTTGAAAGTAGTAGTTCTCCAGAAACTTTGTGTGGCTGCCACAAACTATGATGACAAGAGGTCATGGGAATTCGGCCAATAGGCTGATCAGTAAACATATTCATGGGTTCCCTGCTGTTATAGTTAGCCTGTTACCCATGCTACGACATACTTGCAGTCAAAATTTCGTTTATTTGTAATTAGAAATAAATGTTTCACAATTTATAAAATAAATGTTTCACAATATTCCCATGTAAACTATAGTCCAGCCCTCCAACAGTCTGAGGGACAGTGAACTGGCCCCCTGTTCAAAAAGTTTGAGGACCCCTGGTTTAAATAATGGTCAAACATTTTGCCTCTTCTCAGTGGAGAAACCAAAGATTTCTTATAGAACAGAGCAAAGGGGGAATAAGAATCAAGAACAAACTAAAATACTTGGGAGTAATAATAACTAAGGATTTAAAAGAGATAGAGGAAGTAAATGTAGTAACATTAAGGAAAGAAGTCCAGAAAAAGTTAATAGAGTACGAAGGAATACGCTTATCATGGTTTGGAAGAATAGCATTAGTAAAAATGAAAATACTTCCAAAAATAAATTTCATATTTAGGATGCTACCACTTCAAATTACAGAAGAAGAACTAACTAGATGGCAACAAATGATTAATAAGTACTGTAATGGAAGTAAAAGGAACAGACTAAATAAACAATTATGGTATAGATCGCAAAAGGAGGGTGGACTGGCGTTACCTAATATAAAAAAATATTACGAAGCAAGTAGATTAAGTTTGGTTATAGAAGGAATGGTCAAAGAAGAGGGAATAGATTGGCTTAGTAATGATTCAGGAAAAGTGGAAGATGAAACTTGGAATATATTTTTTAAACAGTTTACTAGAAAAGAAATGAGGGAAATTAGAAACCCAATGCTGAGCAATATACTTAAAGTATGGAATAAATATAAGGGGAGGTTAATAAAGGAGGGATCAATTATAACCCCAATAGTGATGGAAAAGAAGTTCCCAAAAATTTAAAAAAGTAATGGATAAAAAGGTAAGGGAAATAAATTTAGATAGGATAGGGGATTGGATGAAGGTGGAAATGAAGAGGGAAATGATGTTGGAAGAGTTTAAAGAAATAAAATTGTCATGGTTTCATTGTATACAATTAGAACAATGGGTAATAAATTGGAAAAAAAATAATAGAAGTGAAAGCCAACTCAGTCAATTCGAACAAATAATACAGAAGGGAAGGACTGTAGAAGAACACGAAAATTTGAGAGGTATAATTAGCAAAATTTATAAGATATTAATTGAAATGAAAGATGAAAAAACAAAAAAGTGCACCCTTAAAGAGATTTGGGAAGAGGATTTAGGGATAAAAATAAGTGAAATAGAGTGGCAACAATTATGGGGACAAAGACATTTAAAAAATTTATCGATACGAGTTAAAGAAAATTATTATAAGTTAATATGGAAGTGGTACTTGACACCGGTAAGAATAGCATATATGAATAAAAATAACTCAATAAATTGTTGGAGAGGGTGTCAAGAACCAGGAACATATATACACATGTGGTGGCAATGTAAATATGTAAATAATTTTTGGGAGAAAGTATTTAGAGAAATAGAAACTATAATGAATATGAAAATAGATAAAAGTCCTAGTATAGCCTTACTATCATTATATAACAATAAGCAATTGAAAAAGGAGGATAAAGAAGCGATAACAAACTTACTAACTATAGCAAGACTGCTTATAGCAAGGAATTGGAAAAAAGAAATGAATATACAAATAGAGGAGTGGTATAAAGAAGCATGGAAAATAGCAATAAACGATAAATTGACATGTATATTAAAGGTTAAAAAAGGTATATGGAAACAAAGCGATTTTGATGCTGTATGGGGAAGATTTGTGGTAAATGGATTAAAAAATAAGGAAGGAAAATTACCGTCACAAGAAGAAATGAAATTTTGGACAGATGAAATGTAAGAAGGGTGGCTTGAAATGGGTGGAGGGGAGCACTGTGGTGAAAAGGGGGAAAAAAATGAGAAAAAGGGGGAGAAATGTCAGAGTAAAATAATAAAATAACATGTTAAAGAGGTTGATGTACAAAATGTAATAGTATGTAATAAAGTGATAAAATAAAAAAAATAAAAAATTAAAAATAAATAAATAAATAAATAAAGATACACATTTTAAAAGCATTAAAATACTTCTTAAAACTGTTAAAAAACAATGTGAAAAAATACTAAACTATAATTTTTAAAACAAACTATTAAGTTTCAGACATCAAAGGGCATGCAGAATAGCAATGCTTCAGCTACCCAGCTGAAGTTAAAACAGATGGAATCACTCTTTCTTGCTTTGGCAGGAAATTCCACGTTCTAAATTCTGCTACAAAGAAAGCCCTGTTATGTTTGCATACTAATCTTAATCTCATGAGATGTTAGTACATACAACAGGGCTTTCGCTGAGGACCTCAGATTTCAAATGGGCTGTTTTTGTTTTGTTTTGTTTCTTTGTTTTTTTGGGGGGGTTCCCCTATGGGGCAGGATGTTAGTGATTTAATATTATATGGAAACAGATATATAAAATAGTAGCTGGATTATTGCTCTACAATCAAATAATTAGCTTGGATTTTAAGGCAGCGTGGTACCATCTGATTGATATGTTGATTCTATGTTTCTGTTCTTTTACCATTCAGACTGAAAGTGTGAACTCAGAAATCAAATGCACTGGCAGTTCCGACCCCAGTAGGCTTTAGAGAAGTCCTTTGTTACCATAGGGTTGTACTCGGTCACCCAACGGAGTTCATTGGCCCGGACAAAGCGACTCAGCTTGTCAGCATCAAGTCCTTTAATATCTTCGATTTCCACATCTTGCCTTTTGTTATCCACCTGAAACAAAGCAAATAGTCTAACTGTTGTTGCTCTTTTGTAGTCGTTGCCCCCCCCCCACAACACTCAGAAAAATAAAGTCATGCATTTAAAAAAATCTTCTACCCACACATTGTTTTGATTTATGATCATTAATTGAACCATCATAATTTATATTCTACCTTGCCTCCAAGAAATTCAAGGTGGTATACATTGCCCTCATAACCTCAGTTTATCCTCATGATAATCTTATAAATTGCAGGCTCAGAGAAGATAACAAGCCCAAGGTTAGTCAGCGAGTTTCATGGCTTCAGTGGGAATAACCTTTAAAGTCCTACATGGTTTGGGTCCAGATTACCTACAGGATCGCCTTCTCCCATATAATGCGCCCCAAACACTGAGGGCCTCTGGGGGGCGTCTGCTCCAGCCTGCCAGAACCTGACTGGCAACCGTCACTCAGAGGACCTTTTCATTGGTTACCCCAAGACTATGGGACAACCTGCCAGAAGAGCTGCCAGAACAGCTAGATCAGCTTTTGCAATTTAACACACAGATGAAGACCTATCCCATCCGGCAGGCTTACCCAGAGAATTTGAATGATGAATTTTAAACTTCCACTCTATATCTAACTTTTGTTTTGTGTATTTTAATATGTATTTTATGGAAATATGTTTTAATATGTGTATTCTATTGAGTATTTTTATATGATTATGTGTTTTGATTATGTGTTTTTGCAATGTTGTAACCTGCCTTGAGCCATGATGAAAGGTGGGTAAGAAATAAAACTATTAGTAGTAGCATTAGTAGTAGTAGAGTTATAAAACAGGTGTTTTCTGGAGGCTTGTACTAAGGGAGAAATGGGAAAATGTACATTTTTGAAAATTACAGGATACATTAATTAAAAACTACAGGATAGTATAATTTAAAAACTAGATAATTGCACAATGGTAATTAAAAGATTCTTCCTTGTCAGCTTGACCTACCTCTTTCTCTTAACCTGACCTACTTCTCTAAAACTAGAAGAAACACTTACTTTCAAGTTGCTGTTATTGTTATGTGCCTTGATATTCATCCCAACTTAGAGTGACCCTATCATAGCATTTTCTTTGGCAACATTGATTTGGATTAGACTTGTTATTTCCTTCCTCTGAATGTAACCAATCGCATCCTTAATACTTTCCTTTCCAAGTGTGAATTAAGCATGGCCCTGCTTAACTTCCAAGATCAGATAGGATCAACAATGTACACTATCCACAATGTCCACTCTACCATGTACAATACACATTGCCTAAGATTTTCATATGGACCATAACACTAAATTATTCCCACAACTTGGGATGGCTATTTTCTTTTCTCTTTTCCTCTAGCTGAAAAGCATAACAAACATCTTTGTAGACTTCAGAGAAGACTGTTATCATCAGGTGCAAAATAGTGCTCTGGATTCCAAAGGCGAGAGAGATTCGCTGATAACTGTTTTGTGCCCTCTGGAAACAGAGTCTTAACCAAACTAAATCTTTCCCATTTTTGAAAGCATTCAGCTGCTTATTTCATTGGCACAAGCTTATGTGGATTTCCTGGAAACATTGTGCAAGCAAGAAAGCTCTCCAATAAACATAGGATTTTTTTCCAGAAGATCAAGAAAAAATTATTCTGGCTCCACAAACAACATTTTTGGGAAAAGATTGCCTCCTGACATCTTCCTGGATCTATTTTCTTGATAGTCTTCTTAAAAGGCAGACAGGAGGGAATCTAAAAGGCAAAAACAGAGCTCCAGCTGAATGATTAGCTGCTTGGTTAACCCATCTAACGAAGGGTCAGAAGAACTGGTCTGAATCCTCGTAAACATATGGACTAATGTTGCCCAATTTGGCACACTCTGGACATGTTGACTGCAAACTGCAACATCTCCAGATTGGTATATCACAGCTGGAGGTTGCCAAGTTTGAGTGGACAACATAGTTGAAACACAGAAAATATATATGCACAGAGAATTCTGTATTCTGCTATCGCATAAAATGTTTGGGTCTTTTTTCCTCCCAGAGGCAGATCTACCCACAGCACTCTTTTCTATACATCAGGGTTCAGCAACTATAGTTTTCTAGATGTTGGACTTCCGTTCCTGATAGCCTTCACCATTGGCTTTGCTGATTGTTGTTGGTAGGAATGGTAGTCAACCAACATCTGGAGGGTCACCGTTTGCCCATCCTTGCCACATGTCATCTCTGGTGCAGAGTTTTGTCTCAAATGTGCTTCTCAGGTCACAGTGGAAAAGTATTGAAGACCTGTTTCTTCTCTCACTAGCCTAGGAGCAAACAAGAGCAGTTCCATGGAAAATATGATGTTTTAAACTAGGATTAAATTTATATGAGCCAGAGCTCATAAGCTCCTGGGACAGTTTCAGGGACCACCAAAGTCAGTGGAAAGAGTTCTCACTGGAGTTGGATCAGACAACAGACTTCTATAAAAACAGAGATTAACCAGTCTGATGCTTTGCATATTTTGCCATAACATAAGGAATCGTCTGTACTAAAGAGTCAATATATGTATGCACACATACTGAGTACCTAACAAAGTTTGAAACTTAGGAAATCGCTTGGGGAAGGGCAGTTACACATCCAGCCCTTCTGGATAGGACCAAGACCCAGAAACAGTTTTGATTTTTAAAATTACAAATATTACTGCACCTAGAGCTAAAGATCTCTGATGGCATACTGAATATCACAACCAAGGACGAAGAAAAAAATACATTTTATACTGTTTCTAAACACGTGTAAAATTTATTTCCTTTCCGATACAGAAACCGTCTATGTGTTAAAAGTTGGCAAACGACAAGTGCCGCTTTGAGTCCCCTTTGGGGAGATAAAGGGAGGTATAAATAAATATAATAAATAAAATAATACATTCATACCAACATTCACTAACACCATAGCAAATGCCAAAATTGAACTATATCAAAATTAATTCTATAACCAAGAGAATTCTAGTCAGAATAGATACAAATGGTCTACAAGCAAGCAACAAGCTAGAAAATTCATTGTGTTTCAGAGGGCAGAATTCTAGTGAGTTGGGCCAAAAGTAAAATATTGTCAATAACTGACATGAAATGCCTCTGAGAGAGGTATTTTGGTCCTGTAAAACATACAAAAGCTAGAAAGCCACCATCATACAGGGTTGATGTGAGTTTTCCGGGCTGTATGGCCATGCTCCAGAAGCATTGATGATGTTTCACCCACATCTATGGCCAGAGGTGGCCCTAGGTAATTTTCAACGGTAAGCAAACAGTATTTTGACGCCCCCCCCCCCCCAACCAATCACTGATATATATTTTCTGTTCGTCGTGGGAGCTCTGTGTGCCATATTTGGTTCAATTCCATCATTGGTGGAGTTCAGAATGCTCTTTGGTTGTAGGTGAACTATACATCCCAGTAACTACAACTTGCATATGTCAAGGTCTATTTTCCCCCAAGAGTGCCTCAAGAGCGCCCCTGGGCAAAATCAACTATACTGCAAATGCTTACTTTGCGTAATGGGTTGAGCCGCCCCTGTCTATGGCAGGCATCCTCGGAGGTTGTGAGCTCTGGCAAGTAACTAGGCAAGTGGGATTTATATATCTGTGGAATGTCCAGGGTGGGAGAAATAACTCTTATCTGCTTGAGGCAAGTGTGAATGTTGCAATTGGCCATCTTGATTATCATTTAATGACCTTTCAACTTCAAAGCCTGGCTATTGCTGCCTGGGGGAATCCTTTGTTTGGAGGTGTTAGCTGGTCCTGATTGATTCTTGTCTGGAATTCCCCTGCTTTTTGAGTGTTGCTCTTTATTTACTGTCCTGATTTTATAGTTTTTAAAAAACTGGTAGCCATATTTTATTCATTTCCATGGTTTCCTCCTTTCTGTTGAAATTGTCCACATACTTGTGGATTTCAATGGCTTCTCTGTGCAGTCTGATATGTGGTTGTTAGAGTCGTCCAGCATTTTTGTGTTCTCAAATAATCTGCTGTGTCCAGGTTGGTTCATCAGGTCAGACTAACACAGAGAAGCCACTGAAATCCACAAGCATGTGGACAATTTCAACAGAAAGGAGGGAATCTAAAAAACTCTTTTTTAAAAATGTTAGGAGAGAATAATTCTGGATCAGCATGGAAAATTCACAGCAACTTCGTGATTCTGATCATGAAAGCCTTCGACAACACATTCACCAGCATACAACTCCACCATGACAATTGAGCGTCATTTCACTGAAAGCCACAGGAATTGTGGTCCATTATTATAATTCTATATGCACCTTCCAGGGAGTAAATCCAAATGAACCCAATGGGACTTACATCTATGTAAACTTGCATAGGATTGCACTCTAAATTAGTTGAGAATGCTGTCCAGCTTCGGGGCACTGATGCTATCACCTCTTCTGACCTAAATATTCTTGTTCTGCTGTGCAAATAACAATGAGGCTCTTACCTTATTCCTGATTTATTGCCGTTCTTTTATTTGCCTATATCTGCCTTCATAATTTTAGAGCTGAGTATTCATTCCAGGTGCATGTTCCACTTCCCCTTCTTCTAGGCCACACTTTTTACTTCTTTCCAGTTTACTCAGGGGAAATTAAAAATCTCCCACTTCTGCATTCTTCCTCAATTTGTATTTATAACCTACCAACGCAGTTTAATTCTGGCAGCACTCATTTGTTTATCGTCTTTAAATAGTCAACCAAGGAGAAATAGAAATCAAGACAAGTGGATCCAGGGTGGTGGCTTTTTATGCAATCAGTAATTATGTCCAGTTTCACTCAGACTATGGACTTGAGACATGAGGGGAGAGTGGAAGGAAAAAGAGATCATGCCCAAGTAGAAATTAGCCAGTTAAATCTGGTTTCCATTTATTGCACCTGTTGAAATTACATATGTTGTTATTGGATAAATGGTGAGTCATCTACAAGTGCATTTTCCAAATCTCTTTCTACAAGGCAGGGAAGATGAGAGCATGCCTTTCCCAATAGTTTTGTGGCTTCTTCTAACTTTTAAG